CCCGAGAACCTCCTCCTGGACGAGAAGAACAACATCAGGATCGCGGACTTCGGCATGGCGTCGCTGCAGCCCGACGGGTCCATGCTGGAGACGTCCTGCGGCTCGCCCCACTACGCCTGCCCCGAGGTCATCCGGGTAAGTGGGAACGGGCGGGGCGTGGGCGTGCGGGGCGGGAAGGCGCGCTGGTGACGTGCAGTGTGTGTGTCTCTGATTATTCGTTGTTCGTTTTTTTTTTTTTTTTTTTTTTTTTTTCTTGAACTATCCATCTATCTATCACTGTATGTCTCTCTGCTTATTTGTTTTGCGGTTTCTTTTCTCTTTCTAATTATCCATCTATCTATCACTGTATGTCTCTCTGCTTATTTGTTTTTTCGTTTTTTTTCTCTCTGTCTATCCATCTATCTATCACTGTATGTCTCTCTGCTTATTTGTTGTTCGTTTTTTTTTCTCTCTCTTTCTAACTATTCATGTCTATTACTGTATATCTCTCTCCTTATTTACCTTTCGGTTTCTTTCCTCTTTCTAACTATCCATCTGTCTATCACTGTATGTCTCTCTGCTTAATTGTTTTGCGGTTTCTTTTCTCTTTCTAACTATCCATCTGTCTGTCAGTCAGCCTGTCTATCTGTACGGATGTTTATAAACACGTACACGTACTGTGTGTGCGTGTGTGTGCACAGTGAGCGTTGCACTGCCCTCTTTTACTCTGCTATTCTTTAAGCAGAACTATGTAGATTTTGTTAATTATTCTGTTTTCTTCTCTTAGTCTCTTCTTTACATTCAATTCGCCTTTTTTCTTTCCATTATTTTCCATCGCCATGAATTCCTTTTATTCCGAATTTCAGCTCTGTTTTTTTATTCTTTTTCTTCTCTTTCACCTTTTCTTTTTCGGCTTCATCGTGTTTTTTCTTTCCCGAAGCTCCTCCTTCTCTTCTCTCCTGCGTGTTTGCCATCTCTTTACCTCCCCCTCCCCCCTCCCCCCACCAGGGTCCTTTCCCGCCCCGCTGCCAGAATCTTCCGCCTTCTCCCCCTCCCCCCTTCCCCCCTTCTAACCCTCTCCTCTCTTTCTCCCTGCCTCCCCCCTCCCCTTCTAACCCCCTCCTCCTACTTGCATCCCACCCCCTCCCCCAGATTCCTCGAGCCCGCCTATTTGATCATCAAGATAATTGGACTTCTTGATTCCCCGCAACCGATAATCTGTTTATCACGATTGGCTGTTGCAATATTTATGCGCGCAATGGCGGATACACACACGGGCGAGGTGCGCATGCGTCGTGGGGAGCCTCGGCCGAAGATGCCCAGGCCTAAAGAGAATAGGCCGGGGGGACGAACCTGGGAATCGGCGAGGGGGGTGAGGGGGAGGGGGAGGGGCAGGTGGTCACCGGAGGTAGATGGAGAAACGGAGAAGAGGAAGGATGGAGAACGAAGAAGAGAAGGAGAGGAGAGAAAATGAAGGAAGATGGGGAGTAGGCAACACTGGGAGACAGCGAAAGAGAGAGAGAGGGAGGGAGGGAGGGAGGGACACAGATTCGGTCAAAGGTATACAGATAAGACATAGACACATAGGCAGATCTTGAGACGCATACAAATGGACATAGAGACACTTTCAGAGATAGGCCAGTGGATAGACTGGCATAGACACAGGCATAGACACACACAAGCAGACATACACACACACAAGCAGACATACACACACACACAGACATAGCAGACATACACACACACAAGCAGACAACACACACACAAGCAGACACACAAACGGACAAGCATAGAGGCACAGGCAGAACCAGAGACAGAAAGACAGAGCAACAAGAGGCAGACAGACAGACAGACTTTGAGACCCAGGCAGAAGATAAAGGACTCAAACTAGAAAATAAAACAAAAAAATCAACAAAAATCCGAGAGACAGACATAGAAAACAAAGAAAAAAAAATCAATAAAACCAAAATCCGAATTCATTAGAGCAACACAGGTCAGGATGGTGAAGTATGACGGTAGGCCTACGTGTAAACAAACATGATTGCATATTTAATTCACGTGAAGCTCAAACTGGCCGTATAGACCTATGCTCTCCCATCAGCTGTTCTGGGTGATTGTGAAAAAAGTTCTCATCATTTTGATTGCGTTTAGATTTTTTGTTTGTTTGTTTTTGCCTTTGCGCTGGATGAAATCAGTTTGTAATGGATTGTGCATTTTTATTACGAAAATAACTGTATAAAGCTGTGCCAGCGATGTGAGTTTGTTTCCCCGGCTCTCTCGCTCTCTCTCTTTTCTTTTTTTTCTTTTTTCTTCTCTCTCTCTCTCTCTCGCGCTCTCTCCTCCATCCCTCCCTCCCTTCATTCACCTCTCCCTACCGCTCCCTCTCTCTCCTTTTCCTTCCCTATCTCCCCTTTGGTATCCACAATCCTCGCTCTTTTTACCTCGCTCTAACCCCTCTCCTTTCCCACTCCCCGTCTCCCCCACCTCCCGTCTCCGTCTTCCCACCTCCCCGTCTCCCACCTCCCCGTCTCCACCTCCCCACCTCCCGACCTCCCCGTCTCCCCACCTCCCCGTCTCCCCACCCCGTCTCCCCACCCCCCTCTCCCCCCTCCCGTCCCCCTCCCCATCATCCCCGTCTCCCCGCCTCCCCCTCCTCGCTCCCCCTCCCTGTCTCCCCACACTCCCACCTCCCGTTCGCCACCCGTCTCCTCTCCGTCTCCCCACCTCCCCCCTCCCCCCACCCCGCTCCCCGACTCCCCGTCTCCCACCTCCCCACATCTCCATCCCGTCTCCCACCTCCCTGTCTCCCCTACCTCCCACAGCCTCCCCACCCGTCTCCCCCCTGTCTCTCCCACCTCCACCTCCCCTCGTCACCTCCCCGTCTCCCCACTCCCCACATCCCGTCTCTCCGCTCCCCAGGTCTCCCCACCTCCTCCCCACCCCCGTCTCCCCACGTCTCCCGACCTCCCGTCCCACTCCCCACCTCCCCGTCTCCCCATCTCCCCGTCTCCCCGTCTCCCCCTCGTCTCCCATTTCCCCCTCCCTCCCTCTCCCACCTCCCCGTCTCCCCACCTATTCTCCCCGTCTCGCCCACCTCCACCTCCCCGACCTCCCCGTCTCCCACTCCCCACCTCCCCGTCTCCCATCTCCACCTGCCCACCTCCCCGCTTCCCGCCTCCCCGCCTCCCCCTCCCATTTCCCCGTCTCCCCACCTCCCGTCTCCCCACCTCCCCACCTCCCACCCCCGCCTCCCCGTCTCCCTCCCCTCACGCCCCGTCCCCGCTCCCCACCATCCCCGTCTCCCCCGTCTCCCCGTCTCACCTCCCCGCTCCCGTCTCCCTGCTCCTACCTCCCGTCTCCCCACCTACCGTCTCCCCACCTCCCCGCCCGATCCCCTCCCCGCCTCCACCGTCTCCCCACCTCTCTCCGTCTTCCCCGTCTCCCACCTCCCGTCTCCCCGTCTCCCTGCTCCCACCTCCCCGTCTCCCCCCTCGTCTCCCCACCTCCCGTCTCGCCCGTCTCCCCACCTCCCCGTCTCCCACTCCCCTCCCCGCCTCCCCTCTCCCCGTCTCCCTCTCCCCGTCTCCCCACTCCGCCTCCCACCTCCGTCCTCCCCCTCCCCGTCTCCCCCATCCCCGTCTCCCCGCCTCCCCCTCCCCGTTTCCCCCCTCCCCGTCTCCCCACCTCCCGCCTCCCCACCTCTCCCCTTCCCCGTCTCCCCAGCCTCTCCCGTCTCCCCACCTCCCCGCCTCCCGCCTCCCGTCTCCCCGTGTCTTCCCACCTTCCCGCCTCCCCACCTTCCGCCTCCCGTCTCCCCCCTCCCCGCCTCCCCCGCACGAGAGATGAGTTAACTGGGGCGGATTTTAGACCTGGGGAAGCCGGTGCTGTGGCGTCGGGGGAGAACGCTCGACAAAACCCCAGGCAATTTGTTTTCTTTCCCGCTCTCGCTGCTTCTCGTTTGCTTGCTGTTTTTATTTACGCTCATCTCGGCATTTTTTTTAAATTTTGTTTTCTTTTCTTTCTTTCGTTTTTTTTGTTGTTGTTGTTGTTGTTCTTTCTCTCTTTTTTCAGGTTTTTGTGTTTCTTTCTTTCGTTTTTTTTTTTCCTTTCTCCCTTTTTATCTTTTTGTCTTTTCGCTTTTTTCACTTTCTCCTTTTTATCTTTTTGTCTTTCTTTCTTTCGCTTTTTCCTTTCTTTCTTTTCATCTTTTTTGTCTTTCTTTCGTTTTTTTTCTGCTCCTTCCATTTCTGGTTCGTCAGGTAACACGGATTTTTCCTATTCACGATCTCCGTTTATCTTCATTCTTCCTTATTTACCTTTTCTCTGTTATATACTTATTCTTCCTTTTCTCCTACCACCCTCTCATCTCCCCCTCTTCCTTTCCCTTCAACTTCTCCTCCCCCTCCTCCTATTTCTCTTTATCCTCCTCCTTCTCCTATTCCTCTTTATCCTCCTCCTCCTCCTATTCCTCTTTACCTCCTCCTCTCTCTTTCTCATCTTCCTCCTCCGCCTCCTCTTCTTCCACCTCTCCTCTTTCTCCTCCTCTACCTTCTCCTTCTCCTTCTCCTTTTCTCTCCTTACCTTTCTTCTTCCTACTCCTCCCCTTTCTCCTCTTTTTCTTCTTCTTCCTCCTCCTCCTCCTCCTTTTTCTCCTCTTCCTTCTTTTCTTTCTCCTCCTCCCCTTTATCCTCTTCCTCTTTTTCTTGTTCCTCCTCCTCCACTACCGGCTCCTCTCCTCATCCATCCCCTCCACCGTCTCCTCCTCCTCCTCCCCCCCTTCTGCCTGCCATCCTCCTTATCATCCTCCTCCTCCTCCTCCCCCTCTACCGCCGGCTCCCCTCCTCCTCTCCTCCCCCTCCTCTTCTCCTCTCTCCTCCTCCTCCTCCTCCTCCCCTCCTCCTCCCCCTCCTCCTCCTCCTCCCTCCTCCTCCTCCTCCTCCTCTCCTCCTCCCCTCCTCCTCCTCCTCTCCTCCTCCTCCTCCTCCCCCCCCCTTTCCGCCTGCGCCTCCTCCTCCTCCTCCTCCTCCTCCTCCTCCCTCCTCCTCCTCCTCCTCTCCTCCCCCCCCTCCTCCTCCTCCCCTCCTCCTCCTCCCCCTCCTCCTCCCCTCCTCCTCCTCCTCCCCCCCCTTTCCGCCTGCCGTCCTCCCCCCTCCCCCTCCTCCTCCTCCTCTTCCCCCCCCCCTTCCGCCTCCGTCCTCCCATCACACTCTCCTTCCGGAGCGATGAAGCCGCGAGCGCCCGTGATCAGCCGAGCATTGTTCTGGCGCGAGGTCTTCATAAAGAGGAAAGTCCACCGAATTTCGTCCGCGGTTTAAGGCGAGGGGGAATCTTGGGAAATCTTATCCGCCGTCTGGAGGGGATCGGGGGAGGGGAGGAGGGGGGGTGGGGGGGGCGGGGCGAGGGCGGAGAAAAGTGAGAGGAGGGGACGGGATGCGGGGTTACGGGAGAGCGACGACCCGCGTAAAATGTGACGGGATGGGGCTTCGTTATCGGGAGTTATCGGTCGCGTCGGCGGAGTCAGAGACCCGAGGCTCGTTCGGTCGGGGAACGGAGCGCGGGGAGCGTCGCTGCGAGTCTCGTTCACATCCGCGTGCTGCGGGATCCGGAGGCGGGGAGTCTCGTTCACATCCGCGCGGAGATATTTACAGGGCGAGAAGGCAACTGTTCCCGGCGGGCGAGGGCTGTCACGGCCTAATGGATCCGCCTGATGCAAGTGACGGCGGGCGAACAGTCAGAAGCCTCCGAGCGGACTCGCAAATATGCACGCAGCAGACTTGTGTTTCCTGAATGGCGAGGATGCAGAGAAAAATAAGCTTGTTCAAACAGTAATCATGTCAAAAATGTGTTTGCTCACATAGAGGGGCATCTGGACACATCCGGCGCACTCACTTTCAGTCACGTTTTCTCTACGTAGACTGGTTTACGAGTCAGATTCCGACTGGTTTACGAGTCCGTTTCCTGCGCCGGTGACAATTATGACCCGCTTGCCCACTGGTTCCATTCTAACTGCAATCGCAAAATGGATATTGCTGATATATTTCACTGGTCTGCACCGTGCCTCCCTTTCCTACACCCTGTTCCGTCCCTACCTTCGTTTTTATTCCGCTTCCTTCCCTCCCTATTCTAATACGTTTTTTTCTTCCCATTGACACTTCCTCCAAGCGAATGCGTGACGACAAGACCCCGTCGCGCCCCCAGCTGTCGCTCTCCTCATCTCGCCTCCTTTCGGCAGGGCGAGAAGTACGACGGACGACGCGCCGACGTGTGGTCGTGCGGGGTCATCCTGTACGCCCTCCTGGTTGGTGCTCTCCCCTTCGACGACGACAACCTCCGGCAGCTGTTGGAGAAGGTGAAGCGGGGCGTGTTCCACATCCCTCACTTCGTGCCCCCGGACTGCCAGGACCTCCTGCGAGGCATGATCGAAGTCAACCCCGAAAAGAGACTCACGGTAAGCCCCCTTTCCTGCCCCGTCACTAGGGCCAGCCGCTCCCTGGTCGCGTTTCGTGGCCTTGAGGTTGATGTCGGTATGGAGATCGCTCTTGTCTTCATCTGCGATATTTAGAGATACTTAGTTTCCTGTAGACGACGTGGATTATATTAAAAATATATATATAATTTTGCAGATGTAAGATGAACCCATTCATATATTCATTCATTCATTCATCTTCGACGACGTCATTCACTAACTCAAGAGTCCATATTCATATCTGCTATAAATGCATCATTATTCCCAACATATTCCCCTTCCAAGACCACACACAAACACAAACATAAAGTCAAGATCACGTCCTTTGCCCTCTGATGAAGGACTCCGAATGCGCATAAAATGAAAGTGATGCGACGGAGGCCATGTAAATCGGTGCTTCTTTAACCTCCTCTCCTTGACGACGAGAGAGGAGAGGAGGGCTTGACGAAGGGAAAGAAGGTACACAATGCTGTTCACTCTTCCTCACGCACACTTTTTTTTAGTTCCCTTCCACCGCTATTTAATATACGTCTGCTCTCTTCCCCTCCTCCCCTGCTTCCCCTCCCCTTTCCCTCATCCCCTTCCCTCCCCTCTCTTCCTCCTCTTCCCCTCTTCCCCCTCCCCTTCACCCCTCTTCCCTCCTCTTCCCCCTTCCCCCTCGCCCCTGCTGCGCCCCATCCCTCCTCTTCCCCCCTCCCACTTCCCCCTCCTCCCCCCCCTCGCCCCTCCGCCTCCCCTTCCCCTCCTCCCTTCCCCCTCCCCCTCTGCTGTGCCCCCCATCCCTCCCCTTCCCTTCCCCCCACTTCCCCTCCTCCCCGTCCCCCTCTTCCACTCCCTTCCTCCCCTTCCCCCTCGCCCCTCCGCCTCGCCCCCATCCCTCCCTCCCCCTCCCGCCCGCCCGCAGCTCGAGGAGATCAACAAGCACGCGTGGGTGGTGGCCGGGGGCAAGGGCGAGCTGGAGTTGGAGAAGCCCATGATGGAGGTGGTGCAGACCCACATCATCCCCACGAAGGAGAGCATCGACCCCGACGTCATCAAGAACATGGCGTCCCTCGGGTGCTTCAAGGACAAGGAGAAGGTGATGTCGGATCTCCTCGACCCGTGGTGAGTGCGCGCGGACGCTCTCGTAAGGGGGGAGGGAGGAGGGGCGGGGAGAGGGAGAGGGGGAGGGGAGGAATCAGTTCGGGTTGAAAGGGAGGAAAGGGGGAGAGAGGGGGGAGAGGGGAAGGGAGGAATCAGTTCGGGTTGAAAGGGAGGAAAGGGGAGGGGGTATGTAAAGGGAAGAGCATGCAGGTAGAGAGTAAGGGGGGAAGATAGATGTATAAACTGGTGGGGTTGGTCCATTCTGGTCCTTGTAACAGAGCCGCGTTCCTTTGGTGGGCGATAAGTGTTTTATATATATTTAAATTATGACCATCCGGGGCATTTTGAAGATAAGAAAGTCAGTGGACGAAACTTCTTAAAGTAAGTGTTACAGGGCTCGTCTAAAGCGGAATGGACCAGAATATTGGTCTCTCTCTAGGGACTCTCTCTCTCTCTCTGTCTCTCTCTCTCTCTCTCTCTCTCTCTCTCTCTCTCTCTCTCTCTCTCTCTCATCTCTCTCTCTCTCTCTCTCTCTCTCTCTCTCTCTCTCTCTCTCTCTCTCTCTCTCTCTCTCTCTCTCTTCTCTTTTCTCTCTCTCTCTCTCTCTCTCTCTCTCTCTCTCTCTCTCTCTCTCTCTCTTCTCTCTCTCTCTCTCTCTCTCTCTCTCTCTCCTCTCTCTCTCTCTCTCTCTCTCTCTCTCTCTCTCTCTCTTCTCTCTCCCTCTCTCTCTCTGCCTCCTCTCTCTCTTCCTCCCTCTCTCTCTCTGCCTCCCTCTCTCTCTCTGCTCCTCTCTCTCTCTTGCTCCCTCTCTCTCTCTTGCTCCCTCTCTCTCTCTGCCTCCCTCTCCTCTCTCGTCTCTGCCTCCCCCTCTCTTCTCCCTCCCTCTCTCTCTCTCTCCTCTTCCCTCTCTCTCTGCCTCCCCTCTCTCTCTCTGCCCTCCCTCTCTTCTCTCTTCGCTCTCCCTCTCTCTCCCTCTCTCTGCTCTCCTCTCTCTCTTTCTCTCTGCCTTCTGCTCCCTCTCTCTCTCCTCTCTCTCTCCTCTCTCCCTCTCCTCTCTTCTCTCTCTCTCTCTCTCTCTCTCTCTCTCCTCTCTCTTCTCTCTCCTCTCCTCTCTCTTCCTCTCTTTCTCTTTCTTCTTCTCTCTCTCTTCTCTCTTCTCTTTCTCTCTCTCTCTTCTCTCTTTCTCTCTCTTTCTCTCTCTCTCTCTCTTCTCTCTCTTCTCTCTCTTTCTCTTTCTCTCTCTCCCTCTCTCTCTTCTCTCTTCTCTCCCTCTCTTCTTTTCTCTCTTCTCTCTTTCCCTTCTCTCTCTTTCTCTTCTCTCTCCCTCTCTCTTCCTCTCTTCCCTCTCCCTCTCTTTCCCCTTTCTTCTTGTGGTGTGTGCTGTGTGTGTTGTATATAAATGTATATTATATATAATATATATATATATATATATATATTATATATATATATATATATATATATAAATGATTGAGATTGAAAATGGGTAGAGAGGATGGGATAGAAGGGAGAGTTAGTGAGGAAGGGCTAGAGGGGGCAGGCAGGAGGGAGCGGAGGAGGGGGAGGAGGGAGGAGAGGTAGAAGGTTGCGCTTGAAGGATGAATGTTCGAGGCCGAGTTAAAGGCACCTTGACTCCGCCGTGTTTGTTCAGCCCGCTTATGGATGGAGTCGAGGAAGGAGCGGGCGGCCGAGGCAGTGGAAAGCGATTACAATAAATTTCACGGGATATACAGTTTCCCTTTGCCGGCTTCGGAGGGGGAGTTATGGAAAATAGGGCTGCTGGATATCGGTTTATGAGAGGGAGGGGGTTGGGGATGGGAGAGGGGGCTCGGAAACAGTAAGGAAGGCAGAGGGACGTCTTTAAAGAAACGCGAGGAAAACCACTGTGTTTGTGACGATTCCTCCTTCTGAATCTCATTTTATCGGGAAGGGCATTTGGGAAGACGCCGAAAGCCGTGTCTGTGTTGGGTGGCTGCCGAGGCCCTTTGAGAACTTGTAGGAGTCCAACGCGTCCTTCCTTCCCGCAGCCACAACACGGAGAAGGTCATCTACTTCCTCCTGCTGGACCGGAAGCGGCGGAAACCGGCGTGCGAGGACGAGAACGAGATCATCCACCGCTACCGGTCGGAGTCCGCCGACCCGCCGCGGAAGAGGGTCGACACCTGCTCCGTGAACGGCACCATGTCCCACTTCGAGCGCCTGTCGGAGGGCTCGCCCATCACGCCCCGCCGCAACAACATGCCTCACCAGTGAGTCGGACCCGCATGGCCAGGGGCTCGGGGGGGAGGGAGGGGTAGGGGGGACGGGAGAAAGCGCGGAAGGTAAGTGTAGCTTCAGTAGTTAGATTTACGTTTGTTCATTCTAGATGGGTATCACGGTGGGCATTTTCAGGTTGCCTTGCATCTTATTTTAATGGTTTTATAAACGTGAAATATTTATCTATCATATAATACCTGGAGTCGAATATATTTAGATAACATGAAGAACAAAATTCTTTGGAGAAAATGCAGGGATATGAGAGATTAAAGATAACTGTGTAGGATTAGAAATGAAATATAAATCAACGCAAACTTATCAGTGAAAAATCGGACGGAGATCTTTTTTTTTTTATGTTGAATTCATCGAAGAGCGCGTAAAAAGCCTAAAAAAGGGTAACCCCTTCAAAAAGAGAGAAAAAAAAACATCGCAAATGCTATAAATTCAGCGCGTCCGAGGTCTTCCTTTCTCTTCGCCAGATGTCAGTTACAGCGTTAATCCTCGTAATGCTGAGGTTGCTGCTGCGCTGAGTGATGCCTTTCATTTCGGACAGTAGTTATTGTCCACGGCTAATGGACTCCAGAAATTTCGTATTAAAATATTTGATGTAAACTGTAAGAGTACATATGAAAGACGACGCTCTTGAATGGCACACCTGAAAATGCACCTCGCGTGATGTCTTCCTCCCCTGTTAAGCATAATTCTTTGGATGACCTCCACACAAGAAACGCCCTCTATGATTTTCACGGATCCTGTTCGGAGTACCTTAACGGCAAGTACTTCCTTATCTTGTAACCCCGTCCCTGTCCCCGAGCTTCATTCCCCTGGAGATTCCCCCCCTGTTTTATTTACCTCTTCATTTATTTATTTCCCTTGGAGTGGGAGGTTAGACAAAGTGCGGTCCTGAGCGTTGGCCGGCCTTGTAAAGAGTAAGAGCTGTCTTTACCCGACCAGGTCGTCGCACACGCTTCCCTGCAGCCGGCGCCGCTCGGGAAACAACAACAGCGGCAGCCACTCGCCCCTGCACTCGAACAACGTGACGCCGACGGCCTCCCCGGTGTCGTCGCCTCGCACCTCCCGCCACCACCACTCCCAGCACTACCACCACTCCAGCACCACCAGCACCAGCAGGGACGGGGGCGGAACCGTGGCCACGAGCACCAGCACCACCACAGCTCCGGCAACAGCACCTCCGACGAGAGTAGCACGCCGTCTGCCCCGGGCTCCCCCTACTCGGCGCCGTATTGGAAATCTCGCCTCAACACCATTAAGAATTCATTCCTAGGTTCCCCGCGCTTCCATAGGAGGAAATTACAAGGTGAGGAACACCGCCATTTCTCCCCGTTATTTGTCTGAACTGTGCGTCATGCGAGGAATATTTGCGAAATACACACATACACATACAGTGTCACGGAAGACCAGTTGCCGCCTCCTTCACGAGAGCGCGAGCTGGTTTGCGAGCCTCACTGAGTGACATCCTTCCACACCCGCAGTTCCGACAGACGAGGTGCACCTCACGCCGGAGTCGTCGCCGGAGCTCACGAAGAAGTCGTGGTTCGGGTCGTTGATGAGCACCGAGAGGGACGAGACCTACACCATCCTCGTGAAGGACAAGGCGCTGGCTACCGTCAAGGCCGACCTCATCCACGCCTTCCTGTCGGTCAGTTGGCTCGCCGGCACCTCTCGCCGGCGCTCCGGGGTTTCGGTTTGTTCTCTCTCTCTTTCTTTCTCTCGTTTCGTCTCTCTCTCTCTCTTCTCTCTCTCTCTCATCTCCTCTCTCCTCTCTCTCTCTCTCTCTCTCTCTCTCTCTCTCTCTCTTCTCTCTCTCTTCTCTCGTCTCTCTTCTCTCTCTCTCTCTCCTCTCTCTCCTCTCTCTCTCTCTCTCTCTCTCTCTTCTCTCTTCACTCACTCACTCACTCACTCCACTCACTCCTCACTCACTCTCTTCTCTCTCCTCTCTCCTCTCCTCTCTCTTCTCCTCTTCTCTCTCACTCTA